AACAACCACCCGTAGGCCGGCTTCTGCAAAGAAATATATTAACTTGGGAATGCATTATTCCACGACGTGTGTCACGGAACAGAATTCAAAATGAGAAATTGCAGTGGATAAAGGTGTATTTAAGAAATCCATATCGTGGGCTATATGTGTCCTGAGTCAGTTGCGATAATGGATCATCCTAGGAAGGGAACATGAAACTGGATTGCAACGTCAGAGATACGTAGCAGGGCCGCGTGTCACAGCTACCCTTGCGTGCGGCACCGCGGTTGCGAGCAAATTAAATTCGCATTGTTTCGTCGGAGAGGTCACGGTGGGGGGGGGGGGTCGGCGAATCGCGGCTGCTCCGTGCGGTCGTGAGGCGCCGTCGCCTCCGTGCGCCTCCGACGAGGCTGTGGGGAGGGCGGAACCAACCCAGTGCAGGGGTCACGGGGCAGAAGAGTCGCGCCGTGCCGCCGCATGTCCAGCGAGAGTCATGCACGGGGGTCACGTGGGATTAAAACGGAACCCCGTCGACGCATCTTGCTCAGCAACATCCGGCTCCATACTCGAATTCGTTCTGTGTAACCAGATGATCGCTCACAGAGACCAGGATAGAGTTTCATTTGCTAGAGTGTCCGACATCAGTCACCGAAACGAACAATGTTACAACAGCAAGTACAGTAATGAAGCAAATAGAAATCAGATCAAGAACAACCACGTTACAGGGAATAAAATCGAAAATACTCCACAAGCATAACAAAATATTCAATAAATCTAATTTCCTGTCGTGAAAGTCGACAAGATAAATGACATTCTAAACTGTTCATAGTACAATTAGGTTAAATAAACATTAAAATGGAATTAGGGTGATGATTACACTAAGGATATAAACAGACAAGGATATTTGTCAAACATACGTATCGATCGCCCAACGAGACCCCTTCCTCTCGATGCACCGCCGCGCCCACCAAACCATCCTCCCCCAAATGCACCGCGGGCCCTTTGGTGGAGCGCAAACAGCTCCCTGGGCACGCCTTCGTCCAACGCCGTGCCGAGTCGCACGCACAGCCGCCGCCGCCGTTTTCACTGCAGAGAGACGCGAGCGAGTCAAGCACCCGTGGGCCCGTTGCTCCGTGTCGCCGTGCCGTTACGGATGCCTCCGAAGCGCGCGGGTTTTGTTGCGTCAAGCGAGGAGGGCCCGACCCAGCCGTCGCGACGAGACGGCTGGTTCTCGTCGTGACGCCGCCACCACCGCCTATCCATCTCGTGCAGCACCGCGAGACGCGCGATCCCCCCACCGCATTTGCGCGCCTCTATGTAGAGGGAGGATTACCGCACGTTAAACCGTTTTGGGTGGATTACAAATACTTTTTTTTGGATAAAGCTCGGGATTAGGCACTTTAAACACGAGTACAACTCTATAGCCAGGGCGGGTACGCAGATTGTCGGCGAGCGCGTGGACGGCGCGGCACTCCGTCGATCTGCGCTCCCAGCAGCTCCGTGCCCGTGGCTACTGGGGTGGGTGCTATGTGCCCACGAATGCTCGCCAGCCGTGCCGGTCGCGTGCTCTAACGACCAAGCGTCTGGAACGCCGAGTGGGGAGAGCGTGATCGCGTTTTAAAAGACATCGCCTGACTCGTGCCGTACACTGAAACATTTATCAAAATGAATAATTGAGGAAAAAGAATCTTTAATTTTTAATTAGTGTATTACAAACAACGATGGTAATTACTGTTTTTATTTCGTAAGTTAAGAAAAAGAAAACTGTCGAATTAAAAGGATAGTTTCAGTAAATAATTACCATGGGCTTGGTAATGTTCATTAATTTGGTGCCCAAATTTCTCCAGCAGCTTCTCTATTAACTTCACAGCAATATTGATAAAGCTCTATGGCCGCGTGGTATTGTTTCATGCACAATAACGAGATGAATAATTCATTTCAACGTTGTACTGTGAACTTTCTTGCATTGCAAAATTCCTGCAGAGGTGCAAACAGCAATCTGCTGTGGTGCTGGATGGCACCATTTGAACAGACGGTGGCTCTGTACTGTCATGAGTAGATGCATAGAGGTGCCATGGAGCGACTGCTGTGCGTAAGGAGGTGGCCCAGGTAGGCAGAGTAGCTGCTGGTCTTTGACGGCGGCCGGGTGGTCCCGCTGTGGTTGCACTTTTGCCCCACAGCAAGAAGGACCTGGGTTCGAATCCTGACTCGGGGTTTGTATGTTCTCTCCCAGTTCTGCGTGGGTTTATTCCTGGGTTCCCCAGTTGTTTTCCCGTAGCTTAAACGTTCAACATAATTGGTGTTGACCACACATCCCACTGCAATCACCTCGTGAATAAGAGTCTTCGGACTCAGTGTTGTTTCCTGGGTAAATAGGGTCAACGTTATTACATTTTGGTCATCCCGAAACAGGAAGGCCCTGTGGAAGGTCTTCCCACCTCTCTTATTGCAACGACTCCCATACCGCGTGTCAATTTTGCCTCACGTAGGCGAGCTCTGACCGATACTCCCACACTCCACTCCGACCGACACTCCCACGCTCCACTCCGACCGACACCCCCACGCTCCACTCCGACTGACACTTCCACGCTCCACTCCGACCAACACTCCCACGCTCCACTCCGACTGACGCTCACATGCTCCACTCCGACCGTCACTCCCACGCTCCACTCCGACCGACACTCCCACGCTCGACTCCGACCGTCAATCCCACACTCCACTCTAACCGACACTCCCACGCTCCACTCTGACCGACACTCCCACGCTCCACTCCGACCGTCACTCCCACGCTCCACTCTGACTGACACTCCCGCGCTCCACTCTGACCGACACTCCCACGCTCCACTCCAATCGTCACTCCCACGCTCCACTCTGACCGTCACTCCCACGCTCCACTCCGACCGACACTCCCACGCTCCACTCAGACCGACACTCCCACGCTCCACTCTGACCGACACTCCCACGCTCCACTCCGACTGACACTCCCACGCTCTACTCCGACCAACACCCCCACGCTCCATTCTGACCGACACTCCCACGCTCTACTCCGACCGACACTTCCACGCTCCACTCCGACCGTCACTCCCACGCTCCACTCCGACCGACACTCCCACGCTCCACTCCAACCGACACTCCCACGCTCCACTCCGACCGACACTCCCACGCTCCACTCCGACCGACACTCCCACGCTCCACTCTGACCGTCACTCCCACGCTCCACTCTGACCGACACTCCCACGCTCCACTCCGACCGACACTTCCACGTTCCACTCCGACCGACACTCCCACGCTCCACTCTGACTGACACTCCCACGCTCCACTCTGACCGTCACTCCCACGCTCCACTCCGACCGACACTCCCACGCTCCACTCAGACCGTCACTCCCACGCTCCACTCCGACCGACACTCCCACGCTCCACTCCGACCGTCACTCCCACGCTCCACTCCGACCGACACTCCCACGCTCCACTCTGACCGTCACTCCCACGCTCCACGCCGACCGACACTCCCACGCTCCACTCCGACCGACACTCCCACGCTCCACTCCGACCGACACTCCCACGCTCTACTCCGACCAACACCCCCACGCTCCGCTCTGACCGACACTCCCACACTCCACTCCGACCGTCACTCTCACGCTCCACTCTGACCGACACTCCCACGCTCCACCCCAACCGTCACTCCCACGCTCCACTCCGACCGACGCTCCCACGCTCCACTCTGACCGAAACTCCGACACTCCACTCTAACCGACACTCCCACGCTCTACTCTGACCATCACACTCCCAAGCTCCCTTCCGACCGACACTCCCACGCTCCACTCCGACCGACACTCCCATGCTCCACTCTGACTGACACTCCCACGCTCCACTCCGACCGACACTCCCACGCTCCACTCTGACTGACACTCCCACGCTCCACTCTGACTGACACTCCCACGCTCCACTCTGACCGACACTCCCACGCTCCACTCTGACCGACACTCCCACGCTCTACTCTGACTGACACACTCCCATGCTCCAATCTGACCGACACTCCCATGCTCCACTCAGACCGACACTCCCACGCTCCACTCTGACCGACACTCCCACGCTCCACTCCGACCGACACTCCCACGCTCCACTCTGACCGTCACTCCCACACTCCACTCAGACGGACACACTCCCATGCTCCGCTCAGACCGACACACCCACGTTCCACTCCGACCGACACACTTCCACGCTCTACTCCGTCCAAAACACTCCCACGTTCCACTCCGACTGACACACTCCCACGGTCCGCGTCATTGGGCCCTACGCCCTAAGGCCATCATGGGCAGGAATAGATTTTGTGGAGTGATTCTGTAGCCATTGTCCCAGCGCCGATGCAAATGTCGAGTTGGTGATGTTAACGGTTTTTGTGATTTGCCCTTTGACCGATGTCACTGGGGGTATCGATCCGCTTACATTACAGTCTTAAGACGAGGTGCCTGTGCAGTGGCAGGAGTAAGACAGCCGCGTGTCACGCCTCCTCGTGCCAAGGCCGCCCTTGCTACCATTGCAATTTCCGTCTTAAATTCTGTATCACTTTGTGAACATTAGCAATGGAACACTGCACAAAACAATTAGTGGGTCTGTAAGATTTAACATTTTAGCAACGTGTTTATCCCAATTGTGAAATAATACAAAAATATCTAAATGCACCTTACGTGCTTTTACGAGCTTTACGATTTTGAAAATGTGAATATAGATTGTAATTGTCCTCCCTCTTGTGGCCTGCTGTGTCACGCGGCCTGCGCATGCGCCCATTTGTCTGCGAGACCCGGGGGTCGGTTGCATAAACAACTCGAGAACTTCATCTCCGCCACAGCTGTTAAATTGGCAACGAGTCGGAGGGGGAGGGGGAGACGTTCTCTCGAGGTGTTGCACGCAACCGGCCTCCGGCCTCCCGGTTCTCGCCCGGTTCTCGCGACCAGTCTGCTGCCGCTACTGGATAAGCGCGCGGTTCCACCCACACCCCGCTCGCCTCTCTGCCTCCACAGGACTCTTCCAGCGAGCGGTGACCCAGAGCGGCACGGCACTCTCGTCCTGGGCCTTCAACTACCAACCCATCAAGTACACGCGCATGCTGGCCGAGAAGGTCACGTGCAACCGCCTGGACACGCACGACCTGGTGGAGTGCCTCCGCTCGCGCTCCTTCCACGAGCTGGTGGCGCAGGAGATCACGCCCGTGCGCTACCACGTGGCCTTCGGGCCCGTCATCGACGGCGACGTCATCCCCGACGACCCGCAGATCCTCATGGAGCAGGGCGAGTTCCTCAACTACGACGTGATGCTCGGCATCAACCAGGGCGAGGGCTTCAAGTTCGTGGAGGACATCGTGGACGGCGAGGATGGCGTCGCGGCCAATGACTTCGACTATGTGGTCTCCAACTTCGTGGACAACCTCTACGGCTACCCGGAGGGCAAGGACGAGCTGCGGGCCACCATCAAGTTCATGTACACCGACTGGGCGGACCGCGACAACGCGGAGACGCGCCGCAAGACGCTGGTGGCCCTCTTCACTGACCACCAGTGGGTCGCGCCCGCCGTCGCCACGGCCGACCTGCACGCGCAGTACGGCTCGCCCACCTACTTCTACGCCTTCTACCACCACTGCCAGAGCGAGATGAAGCCCGCGTGGGCGGACGCGGCGCACGGCGACGAGATCCCGTACGTGTTCGGCGTGCCCATGGTGGGCCCCACGGAGCTCTTCCCCTGCAACTTCTCCAAGAACGACGTCATGCTGAGCGCCGTTGTCATGACCTACTGGACCAACTTCGCAAAGACTGGGTGAGGAAGCCCCGCCCCCTGCGCCCCCCGTGTTGAATGAAGGTCGCCCGCCTCCCGTTGCCAGCGCTGCCAAACTGACTTAAGAAACGTGGCTCGATGTCACGAGATAGGCACCCCCTCTCATAATTTTTATTCATAATCATGCTTGTTCATTATAATTAAGTACATTTGGTATTTACGTCGTTCTTATAGCACAAATGCTACCGCGAATGTGCTGTGCTTCTCAGACGCGGTCTGCAGTGTTATTAGTGTCACGAGACAATTCAGCCGAGTCTCGCTCGTAGTGAACTGGTTACAGGATGCGCCGCATGCACCTGGGATCGCCCCTCAATTTAAAAAAAGAAGTTCCCTCGTCCCGGAGCGTCGCACGATGCAGTCGCTCGTCACGTTGACAACATATTGCCTCTCGTCAAATCCGCAATAGACCTCGTGACGAAATCGCCACTTTGGCTCCGTGTCCTCGTGTGGCGTAGCTGGATGGCATGGGCCATGCCCTGGGGTTTCCGTCCCATTACCCGCAAGCCAGGGCCCATGCTGCCACCCATGCTCGGCCACTGCCCAGCCCTCCTGTGGCCACTGCTGGTGCCCTCGTCCCACCGCCCGTGCTGGGTAGGCAAGGGGGCTCGGGGAGGGGGGGGGGGTTCAACTACCCGCCCGTTACCCCTCTCCGAGATCAAAGCGTCTGGCAGCCAGAACACCAAAGCAGAGAAGCTGTTTTTGTTACATTGTGGAAATGTAATCCGTGGTGTTTTTTTTTTCTAAAGGTGACGGGGCAGAGCTAATTTAAAGAGGAGCTGTGTGGAACGAACGACTCTGGAGATAGTGTGACACATTCCATGTACCATTGGCCAACTCATTGCAATGTTATTATTACTTTTCTTGTTTATCCAGAAAAGCCTCACTGAGTCTCAAGACTCAGGAGGGTCCTGCCAGGTTTTTTGAGTAGGGGCAATGTTGTTAATGTGTGATCTCAGTTGAGTAATTTTCAGATGGATTTTTTTCATCATTGGGATGCTTTGGCCGATACCCATTACATTGTGTGCATTTTTAGTTATGGGAGGAAACTGGAGTATGCGGAAGAAATAATTAACTTGCATTAATGTCATGCAGATCCCAAAACCCATGCAGAACATAGTGACAATGTACAAACTCCACACTTAAAGGCACCCAAGTCGGGATTAGAACCCAAGCCCCTTGTATGTATGTTGAACTTATTTCGCACCATACATTGCCAACCATGCTAATCGGATATGCAGTGATGCACTGCTGCCTGATGCACTTACTCGTACCATGCACACGATGCACAACTCAATGCGTTAATTGTGGCGTGGAGCCGCAATGCGCTGCGCCATCGTCTCTGCCATCCACAGGAGAGGGGGCCTCTCTCTCTCCCGGCTCACGTGACCGCCGCCAGCGGCCGTGGTTGTAAATCACCGCCGGCCACGGTGAGACGCGGGCCGTGAAGGCGGAGATTTATTGCCCGGGAGCTGCAGGTCGCCGGTCGTTTGTCAAACTTCCGCCGAGCCGCTCGCTTACCGAGCGGCGCGGCGGTGCCGAGCAGAGAGGCCCTCGCCGCGGCCCCGGGAGCGCGCGGTCGGCTGGAGGCCGCTCACCCGATTCGGCCGCCCGCGGGCGCGCAAGCGCTCATGCGAGAGCCGTCCCCTCCCCGCAGAGTGAGAGCCACGGCCCCCCCCCCCCCACGCCGCGGCTTCTGCCACTGCCGTAGTCGGACCCGTCCAAAGGGCCCGAAGTGGCCGCTCCATTTCGCCATACCCTAGGGACGGCTCTGGCTGTGGTTATTGAGAGTGCAGGCAGAGCAACTGCACCAGAGCCCGTGGGCCGAAGGGTCCAGATGCCGTGCTCAGGTTAATTTTGTACCAGTTAGGGGTAATTTTTCTGAGCCACGAATGTTCATGGCAGATGGATTGAACTTCGCGACCACTGTTGGGTGCTTCTCTTACCCCTGTAAGAACGCGGATAACGGGATTCATTCTCCATGCGATTCTTATCCCTGAAAAAAAGATGAAAGGAGTGTTGTGGATAAATCAGGGGCTGCAGAGATAGGGGCAGATTCACCACCCCGGATATGGGGCAAAGCGAAGGTGAGTGTCGTAACCTGTCCTGGGTTTCCACAGCGCGGTGTAGGGGCGGCCCACTCTGACCGGCGAGTGGCCCCTTGCCTCCCACAGCCACAGGTGGCACGCCGAGGGTCGCCGAGACGTTTAACAGCATCAGCGCTGCGGCATTTGTACCCTTCCTAGGGATGGCCCTTAACAGATCGCAGCTGTGGCGCAGGTAAATTTATTTCAAAAGAAAATAGAGTAATCCCGAAGTTAAAACTTTGCTATCAGCAAATGGGGTGATGGGATTAGTATTTCAGGGCGTTTGTTTGGCGGCCGACGGCACGCACGATGAGTCTTATCGTTAGCGCAGCGGCGCACTGCTGAATGGACATGCCGCTTCCCGGTACCTGCAATGCAGCGACCGTGGCTTCTGTGCCCTGCCACTCCCCCCCACCCCCCAATGTGTCCTATTGAATACAAAGGTTACGCTGAATGGCATGGCCTATAGGCGACGGATGGCTTTATCGTGGCACGAAAATAACACGCGAAGAAGGGAGGCGAATGAGGCTCTCGCTCTCTGCAGATGAAAGTTGGCAGTGGAGGTGTTTGTGGCTGTAATGGGTGAGCTGAGCCATCTCAACACCAAGTAACAAAACTAATGTACTTTATTCACCCAGGAGAGCCTCACCGAGTCTCTCCTTGGTAAATAAAGTGCATTAGTTTGCCATGTAGGAGGAAGCCCGAGCACACGGAGAAAACCCATGTCATACGAGCTGGCAACGCTTAAAGCTCCTGCCCACAGATATTCAGGGATGCGTCGCTGTGCTCCTGGCCACCTCGCAGCCTACAACACCTAGTATTTCCTTCCAGCCACTGATCCAAGCACTAAGTTCAATTCCGCTTAGCTTCTGAGCTCGGTATAAATCAGAAACATTTTGGGTGATGTGGTCAAAGGGGAGCCCAAGCAGGATGGCTTCTGGGACCGCGGTCCGAGATGTTTCACTTTCGGTGGCTCCCACGTGGTGCCCTCGTGGTAAGAACCCATGGTTGACTCGTGCGATGAGAGGGGAGCAGTGGTGGCAGTGGCATAGCCGTCGAGTGTGCAGGCAGTGCAACTACACTGGGGCCGGTGTACCGGAGGGACCTGGGCTCCCCGGCCTAAAACGAGAGAGTGAGGGCCGGCGATTGTATTCCTCGCAACATGGCCCTTGCCAAGCGTGCTGCGCCACCGAGCAGAGACGATCGCTCTGCAGTGAGGGCAGCTCACAATGACGTCGGCACGTAGTGGCGCATGTCTGCGGCACGAGCGCCGATAATCCGGTAGAACGCTGGAAATGTCAGCGACACGTGCCATTGTGGCTCAAATGTCACGTGGGGACGCTATCTCGCTCGCGCCGGTACCCGGGGCTCACCCGACTGCCGTGCTCGGCCTGCCGCTCTCTCTTCTAGTACCACCCTAACTGATGTGCGCATTCCCGCATTAAACGCGATTGCTGAGCAACAGGCCCAAAGGCAAAAAAAACGCCGAGCGGACAGCAACCGACTGCAATTTGAAAGCTGTAACAGATAAGAGTGCAACGCGTTTGTTGAATTGAGCGAGGTTGTTTACAGAGCTTCGAAAAATTAGACGATGGGAGGGAATTCCTAAGTGGAACGGTGCGAGGGAAGAAGGCAGAGAGAGAGAGAGAGAAGTGAGGTGACCTGCAGTGTGGTAAGTGGGTCAGTGGGTTGGTGAGTGGTGAGTGGGTGGGTAGGTATATGAGTGGGTAGGTGAGTGATTAGGTGGGTAGGTGGATGAGTGAGTGAGTGGGTAAGTGAGTGGATGGGTGAGTGGGTAGGTGAGTGAGTGGGTGGGTAGGTGAGTGGGTGGGTGAGTGGGTGGGTGAGTGGGTAAGTGAGTGGATGGGTGAGTGGATAGGTGAGTGGGTGGGTGTGTTGCTGTGAGCTGTCGTGTGATCAGTGAACACAGTGTGATTCAAACGGAACCGTGGATGCTTGTCGTGTGTGAGCCACAGTGGAGGCGTTGATCTCCCAGCGCTGATGTCCGGATTGTTACACGGCAGCCCTCCCAAGTCCGAGTGATTCCTGCTCAAATGAGCATTGATGCATTGGTACTCATCCACTGCTTACAGCCCTGAGCCAGTGGTGAAAATTCAACAATCCCATGACGGGGACCAGTATATCTAGAGGGCAACCACTGTGGACTTCTCCACAACGCGGTTGCTTGTATTTTATCAACCGCGTAGGGATGATGATGGCCTGAGTCAACCCCGAAAGCAGGAGCCGAACTCAAGACCATCCAATTGCGAGCCGCTCGCTCTGAGCCGCATGGGCTGGTCGTGGCTGGAGAAGTTGCGACGGTCGTTAGCCGATGACGCATGGCCATCCATTAGGCTTGCATTGATGCCTCGATTCATCAACTGAGATTGATTCTCGCGATACACTCATAGGATGGTGCGTGTGAGAATCGATTATTTAAAATTTTCACAAATTGCATGAGAATATATATGCGTGACGTGCTGAAGTTACATTTAGTCGAATTAACCAGCTGAAAGAACTGTACAAATGCAAAGTAAAGATGTAAAAGGATACAGTTGAGATTTTAATGTCATTCTTACGTCGAATCGCGACCCCATCATTTACCAAATTGCTGGAAGAGTAAATCGTTGCTTGTGTATCAGTGATGAGAGCTTCGGGCAACCCCTCTCCTCTGGCAATCCACCAATCCTGGTTTTGGGTGTACCAACTGCACCGGGCAGGACCACCCGTTTCGTTGTTTTGTTGGGAGGGCCTTGCCAAGTTTTCGCAGTCAGTTTCTGCTATCTGAAATCCCAAATTAGTAATGTACAGATATTTTTTCAGCATTTGGATGGTTTTTATTCTGCAAATTTGCAGTTACATTCTATGGTTTCCGTTTAAGCTGTGAGAGGAAACCCGAGAACCCGGAGAAAACCCATGCAGAACAGGGGGAGAGCATCCACACATCGTGCAGAAAGGAGCCCGAGTCAGGAATCGAACCTGGGAACTTCTTGGCTGCAAGGCGCGAGTATCACGACCCTGCTGCACACGGCTCTCCGAGTGCTTGCTTGCTCTGTGACGAGGTCACAGGTAAAGAGCATCGGCTCAGGATTTCATTCCCCTCCCGTGACGACGCCACCATGGAGCGATTTCGGAGCAGGTCCCCATCTTTCCCACGGGGGCGCCAACGCGTGCTCCATCGTTGTCGTGGAACAGCTTGAGCTGCGCTCCTCTGTGTCTCTGTAACGTTGGGAATCGGTTCCACACCGCGTGTCTCATGACGCCGCGCAACGTCCGGTTACAGAGCGCCGCGACGCCTCCTGTGGCAGAGCACAGCCCACCGAGCATGCACGGCAGTGGCAGCAATTAGGAGGCATGACGCACGGGCTGTGACGCACGGGCTGTGACGCACGGTGTCTGTCACCCCTCACCACCGCTTACCACCCCTCACCCCCGCTCACCCCTAGGAAGCCCGGCCTCACTTCCCTTCGAGCCTCTCGGCTGAGACAAAGCCCCGCCGCCTCCGATATGTTCCCGACCACGGCAAGCGCTTGCGCTCCTCAAAGCGAGGTTAATTGGTGCGCTGTGCGTGGGGGGCCCTGGTGCTGTGGGTGGATTGGCTGGGAGTGGAACCACAGGCAGTCGCTCTCGCGTGCTTCATAAACGGCATTGCAGATGAACGATGGTCATTTGTAGCCTCTTCCCATCTCTCGCGATGGACCCGTGTCTTCTCTACCTGTGAACGATTCAACATGAAATTAACACTTGTGGAATGTTCTCCACATCTCCGACCATCCGAACAAAATCTCAAAACAGTGGATGGACGGCAGCGAATGCCAAATGGGGCTGGGTTTTGGTAGTGCAATCTTCGAGGCTACGGGGCCCACGTGGCAGAAATATTCAGGGCCGCTCTCCCCTGTGCGTGCAGCGTCACGCCGCTGTCAAGAGAAAGGTGATTGGATGCGTGGAGGATTTTTTTCAGCCACGGTCGCCATTGCGGAGGAGCCAGAGCCTCGTCTCCATGATGAGCGTGGCCTGGGCAAAAAGGAGGCAACTTTTCTCGGTGCCTCACACAACAGAGGACCCCCACCCCTTGGCCCCAAGCTCTGGGCCTCCAGTAAACCCAGAGTGCGCTGTCCTCACCGGGACGGCAGTGCGACCGCACCGAGTGGCACGCGATAGATACTTCACCACACTGGCGAGCACGAGGTGTTGCCCAGCCCACTGGGCTTCTGCGGGGCGTGAGCACTGGGTCTGCCCATGATGGATGGAGCCGCGCTCTGGCGGTGGCTCTGTGCGCGGGAGTCTGTCGGCTGTGACTCTTGAACGTCGCAGTGGCGCCCGTTTATAATTTACGAGGACACGGCGTGTGTTGCGGGGTTCCTGAGTAAACCCGGGCACTATTTGTCTCAATAACGTCACCCTAATGATAATTATTTCTTCAACCTGCCACGGGAAATGGACTCTGCTCGCGATTATAATTGCTCCATGGTCATTAAGCCAAAAAGTATCAGAGAGTTATGAAAGCGTTGCCTTCGCCATCATTTCTTACGTAATCCTGGCACCCCTTATTTCGATTGCAAATACAGGGCGTTTTTTTAAAAATAATTTGCTATAACCATTAGTAAGAGTAAATAGCCTGCGGGGAGTCTATTGCATTTTCAATTTGTGAAAATCTGCGATGCATTGCTATTCACGGCATCTCTATCAAGTTCACAGCTCCTCTTGCGAGTGTCCCTTCAGAAGACATGGCTGCTTTTGTCAATCTGCTGAGGGCCTCCCCAATGCCGTATGGTTCATGAGAGCTATTTGACCATACTTCATTACGCTGGCCAGTGCGAGTTTGTGAATGCAATGATTGCTGGTGTGAGATCGTCGTAAAGTACAATGATGGATTATGCAGCGCTGTGTTTCTGTGCATGATGGTCACCCATCTAAGCACTATCCAGGCTCAAACCTGCTTAGCTTCTGAGATCTGATAAGGTGGGACGCATCCCAGGTGATTAGGTCACGTGTGAAGGCTATGAATTATTTTCTAACTATCAAGTGAAGCATTTACCAGTTACATTCGCTTTCTCACTCAATATCCTCCGAGTCGCTGTTAAACTGGAATGAGTGGCACGTGACCAATAGAAGTACCGTGGATGTGGTGTGCCGGGTGCGGATATATTTTCTGGACAGACCGCTAACCACTGTGATTTGCCCACGTTGCTGTCGCTCCTGGCGGTTTGGCACACGCCACGGTGTTCAGACCAGTGGGCACCTGACTTGGCATGAAGGCACGGGAATGTGGGAGGGCTTAGGGCTTGGGGTTAGGAGAGCGAGGTTCCGGGGTCAGAGAGGCACGGGAGAGTGCAGATGTGATGGGGGTACAGAGAGATGGGGACACAAAGACACAGCTGGCATGGGGACACTGAGGCATGAGCGGACAGAGACATGGTGGGTATGGCAAACAGGGACACAGGGACACAGGAGGCTTGGGACAGAATGATTTCCGCTCGGCCACTGGGGCAGGAGCTGCATTTTAAGTGACAAAGCCTGGGTGTTTTTTTCTTTCTGCGCCGTGCTAGAGTCCCCTATAAATCTCTCCCATTCAAATGTGGCGTAAAGGTTGGAGCCAAGGGTTGAGTGAATTAATAATTAAAAGAGATGCGGAGCCTAAGTCGTGCAGGGAGGGAGGCAGAGCGGCGCAGTAAATCCTGAGCGAGGCCACCGCTAAGACGCGCCGCATTTCCCTGATTGAAACGTTCGGCCGAGCGAGGAGCCATCGGAGACAGAGCCCCATGGCCCCCGCGTCAGCTGGGACCGCACACACTGCTACACGTCGTTGAGAGCGGATGGGTGGGTGCCCTGTTGAGGAGTAAAAGTCGCTGGGGGTCACGAAGCTGCCGCTTGTTTGGCTGCCGCTCCACCGTGAGCTCCGGCTAACAGAGTGGCGACCGAAGGATGTGCCGCGCCTGACATGTTCGTTCGCTGCAGAGATGGAGCAATTAAATTGGCTTGTGTGCAGGTGCTGGATGGATGGTTGCAGCATAGATTGTTTTAAATCATTAATAAGCACTTAATTTCCAGCCAGACACTGTGTTACGTGGTATAGTTTACAAGCAATTCCATATCATAACTCCGAATTAAAACTTTGACGTTTTATTTTATCCGGTAAGGTCCACAGTGCTATGTAGATATTTTTCAGAAGCGACCTAGCCAGAAATTATAGCCCAATAAAGCGGTTTGTCACGTCATTTTTTTATAGCAGCGAAATACTCTTAACTGCTAGAGCAGTGACTCCAATAGTCCATTCAAACTCAATAGGAAGGAGTAGTATATTCTTGGTTCTTTTGGTAAAGTCACGTAGAAGGGAAATAATAAAAATTATAAAACAATAAAATTCTCACGATGTTTCGATTGCAACACAAGCATTCATCATCAGGGTTGAAAACCACAGTAAGGAGTAGGTTTTAAATATAGGAGTGGATAAATCCATTTATTTATTGCGCAAAGCCTCAGAGTTCGAAAACATCGCAAACCATCCCAATGTTTTGGGAAGTTTGTCCAACTCTACTAATGAACATTTGGCATGCGGGAGTTAACCAGCGTGCCCAGAGATAACCGACGCGTCCGAGAGGGTGACACTCGGCACATTCACGTGTGGACCACCTCACATCCCCTCGCCTACAACACCTGGAAATCCCAGGAGGTCGCCCGTCCAAGCACGAATCGTGCTCGACCGCCGCTAAGCTTCTGTGATTTGACAATGTCGGACGCGTTCAACGGTGATTTGGCTGCGAGAGATGCCCAAGCAGGGTTTGAATTCTCACTCAACTCGTGTCGGGGGGCCCGTAGACTTGAGCAGGCAACGGAACCGGTAGCCCAACGTGCTTGCTGGGTGCAGATATATTTTCCAGGTCACCGACCCGTCTGAAATGATGCCCTGCATCCACGGTCTATGTGTGGCCACGCGCCCCTCGGTTCTAACGCCCTGTCTGCTGCTCCTCCCTCTCGTTGCACAGGGACCCCAATCAGCCAGTGCCGCAGGACACCAAGTTCATCCACACGAAGCCGAACCGCTTCGAGGAAGTGGCCTGGTCCAAGTACAACCCCCGTGACCAGCACTACCTGCACATCGGCCTCAAGCCGCGCATGCGCGAGCACTACCGCGCCACCAAGGTGGCCTTCTGGCTCGAACTGGTGCCGCACCTGCACAACCTGCACGACGTATTCCAGTACACGAGCACCACCACCAAGGCGCCGCCCTACGACGCCACGGCGCCGTCGGCAGTGGCGGGCCCTCCACGCAGGTCCCCCGGCAACAAGGGCTGGGCGGCGACCAAGCGGCCGTTCTCGGCCTCCGACCCATTGGGGGGGCGGCCCCCCAAGGAAGAGTGGCAGAACCCGAGGACGCCGGAAGACTCGGACGCGCTCGTGGAGGAGCAGCGGGACTACTCGACGGAGCTGAGCGTCACCATCGCCGTGGGCGCCTCGCTGCTCTTCCTCAACGTGCTGGCCTTCGCCGCGCTCTACTACCGCAAGGACAAGAGCCGGCACGGCGCGTACCGCCGGCAGAGCCCCGAGCGCAGCGTGGGCACGGCGGGCAACGCGGGCGAGGTGGCGCACACCCAGGAGGAGGAGATCATGTCGCTGCAGATGAAGCGCGCCGAGCAGGGCCACGAGTGCGAGTTCGCCTTCAGTCATGACGGCCTGCGGGGCTCCGTGGGCGCGCCCTGCCCCCCGGACTATGCGCTCGCCATGCGGCGCTCCCCCGACGACGTCCCGCTTATGACGCCCAACACCATCACCATGATCCCCGGCTCCATAGCCATGCCTAACATGCAGCCCATGCACACCTTCAACAGCTTCGCGGGGCTCAACAGCGGCACGCTACCGCACTCGCACTCCACCACGCGCGTGTAGCCCCAGCCTCCGCGGGCACTGCTCGCCACCTGTGCCACCTCCTGCCCCCTCCCCACCCCCCCGGGAAGCGTGAGTTCGTTCGAAGGTCCGCCGGCAAACCCCCCCAGCAAAGTAGATTTTATACTCGTGTCTGGTTTGCGCCGGCCGGCGGGTGCCGGGCAAAACGACGAGAGCGGTGGTCGCGGCGAGGACAGACCGCGGACTGCACGGCGCACGGTGTTCATGGCGCTCCGCCAATCGGCTGTCGGCTGGCTCCACCGGAGGCCCTGCTCACGATATCTGGACACGATGTGGATCAAGTTCGGTTCTTTATATGTGCGCGCGTGCGTGTGTGCGCACACGCATTTAGTTTGTATTCACTCTTCCCCAAACGGTAAAGAGGCTCGTGATGAAACTGTACCTTAAACACCAAACAGTGCGGTGAGAAGGCGGTGAAGAGGTGGTGAGGAGGAGGTGCACGCTGCAAATCTGACTTCTCAGTGGCTGCCGACAAGGGCGATGAATCGATAAAATCTAGCGCACGGTCGTCCATGCAGGGATGTGAAGACCAGGTCACCCCACTCGCCCGCTCGCTCTAACAGAAGCGCGGCCACGAAGGTTAAGATCGCGCCGGACGACAACCGTGGTGACAAAAGCACAGAAGCGACCCCGACACACGCTTCACACAAACCCTACAATCGGTGGCCTCTGGCGCGCGCACCGCGAGCGGCGGTGCCACGAGTTCGTGACCAGCGCTCGCGCATCGGGCACGACGGCCACCTGCCCACGTGGGCCTCGCGTGGGCTCCTCGTGGGCCTCACTGGTCCCCGCGCTCCCGGAAGGGTTTTCTCTGCTCGCTCATGTGCCGCGCTATATAAACCGACGGTTATGTTCTAGGCGCACTTTGAGGATTTTTACGAGGATGCACGGACCTGCTGTACAGACGTGGCGCCGCTGCCACCGGCCGGTTTTGTACCGCGGAGCAACGGAGGGGGGCACCGCTCGAAGCTCCGCGCGGCTCCTGCCACCTCTCGCGTGTCGCTTTGAGGAGAGCGCAGGCGCACGGTCCCCACATTCCCCCGTCTGGTCGGGACGCATGGCCGCGGTGGCCTTTCAGCCACGCCGAGGCTCGAGGACGCGCACGCGACGCCACGGCCTCACTCTGCCGACCTCCCGGACGAGCCTCCGCGGGTGGGGGCGGGGAGGGGTGGCGCGTGCGCAGCGTCCCGGCGACGCGGAGCGCCGCTCGTTCAGCCGCCAGCCATTCTTGCTGGCCCGCGACCCGTCACCCACCTCCCGTCCCCCGTCACGCCGCTTCTGCTCTCGCTATGCCGACGTTGCAGTCGGTGCACTGTATGTGCATTTTCCAGTGACGCATTGTGGGAAACTAGTGTACAGTCCAAGGGAAAGATAATCAAATATTACGGGCACTTTTTAACGCTTGATTATAACTTTTCATTGGTTGACCTTGTCTTTGAGGGCTATCAGTTCTGTCTACAAAAAACAGCTGATGCCCCTGAGTTCATCTCCTCATATCCAATGAATCCCATCTCCTATTCTCCATATTTCCACGTAATTCCATCCCTCCATCTGCATGAATCTCTCTCTCTCTCTGTTGCCTATACCCACGTCTCCATTTCCCTCTCTATATTTGTTTCCCCATCTCCCCAATCCCCTTGTCTGCTCATCACACCATCTCCCGTTCCTTGCCTCTTCGTCATCTCATCTCTCGTGCGTGTCGTTTCCCTGCCACCCGCCCAGCTCATCGGGGCCGCTACCGCCCCAACTCTGAGCCTCGGCCCATTGCGGTCAGACCCCAAATCACAGAAGGGGGAGACGGGGGGCCTCCATTCCCCGTGGGCCCGGCCAGTGCTCTCCGTGCCCCCTGGAAGTCTGGGAGACTCCTCACCGCCCTGCCCATCGCAACCACAACACTCCTCACTCCCACACAACCACGGTGCAGTGATTCCGCATCGCAGCTCACGTCAGGCCACCACGGCCACACACGCCACCCTGCTCCTTGGGGGCCGTCCATAAATGACGTCACGCACATGGGGGGGGTAGACATTTGTGACGATGTGTGACGAGGGGGGAGTGGGTTTGAGAAATGTCGCATCAAAATACGCAACTTTCAATAAATATAGAATTGTTATAACAACACTAGTTGTTATAACAACACTCCTACAACATCAGAGTGCAGCGCCACATTAAATACGCACTACAATGACAATAGTTTAAAGTTATTTGAAGCATGATTCATGTAAAAATGGAAATATGGTTTTGGGGGGGGGGGGGGGCAGAGCTTTGTGACGTCATGTTTGAGGGGGTTCTGGCTTTTTGTGACACCGTGTGACGAGGGGGGGGGTCAAACATCGTCCAAAATCGCGTGACGTCATTTATGGACGGCCCCTTGTGCAATCCACTGCCAAAAGACCTGGCGCTGTTGTTCCCAGCATTCAGAAGAGTGGGGGGGGGGGGGGGGGGGGGGGGGGCTCAGCTGCGTGATTCCGGTTGGGGTTTAAATTAAAGAAGAGGATTTTGAGGAAGCGAGGTCACGGGGCGGGCTACCGCCCCCGCTGGAGCGCGAATCGTTTAGCGCATACGCAACACATTAGCGGTGCAATTTTGTAGTTAAACTATTATCGCGATCAGCCTCTTGTGAGAACCGTAGCCACAATGAGGCTCGTCACCACAAGACTATCATTGTCCTCCCACACACGGCGGATCAAAACGCCGTTGTCAGTTTTCAGCGTTTCCAGCGACGTGTCTCACGATTCGCTCGGTGAACAAAAACGGGAATGCATTGATTTTTGCCCCCGGCCCGTGGCGCTGACAAACGGCCTGGCAAGGAGTGGCAGACGTCCTGGAGCGGCGCACAAAAAACCCGACGAGCCACGCTCGTGAAGGAAAGGGCTGGGGGAGTGGTGAGGCAAGCGGAGGGGCAGCGGGGAACACGGAGAGCAGCGGTGGGGCCACGAAGAGTGGTGGGGGCCGGGCAGTTGTGGCGGAACTGCAGGGGGCAGAGGGCAGAGGGCGTCGTGGCCGTGAAAGCGATGGCTCTCCCCGCACCCCCGTGGAGACTTGGTGATGCCTCGCACGCAGCTTAGGGCAGCTTCCCTGCAGAATCGAACACAAACCCGACAACGCACAGAGCCCACGGTCGGTTTATTTATTTATTATATTTAAGGAGTGCTTTTCGAAGCGCTTATCCCTTTGACGCCCGTGCGGGTAGTGACGACCAGGAGCGAGAGAGCGGAGCGGGGTGGGGTGGGGGGGCGTGAGACGCCACGCTGGGCCGCACAAACCGCTGGGGCAAATTGATCGTTGCCACATCTACGCCGCGGTAATTTGGCAATCGGGAAGGCCAATCGCATAAAAGCGCCGCGTCGCAAATTATTGCCCGCGGTCCGTGGAGTGGCACCCCTCGGGTTAAATGATGAGCTTAGTTTATCGCGAAGTCAACAGGGTTCAAACTCGACCGTTTCTTCAAACGGCGATTGGCGCCTCGGCTCTTGTTTTACGCCGTTGAGCTGCCGCACGTTGTTGGTCACCCCCCCCCCACCCCAATGAAGCCGTGGCCTCCTTGCACGTCCGGGTTCGAGGGCAGCACCGAACTTGGGCCTGACGTGAGCCTCCCCGCCGCTCCCGGGCGTCCCTAGCCCACACGAGGGCGACGCTGGTGCCGTGAGCGCCTGAAATTAAACGTGGGCAGCAACCAAAAAAAGGCCACACGTTGCAGTCGGGAGGAGAGGTGAGCAGGTTTTGGGGTACAGCTCAAAAGCCAATCACTGGTCCTACCGCTTACCCCTAGCTCACGAGCCAAGCAGCCACGGGTACCAGCCCACCCAATTACCATAACCTTGCCCTTAACCAAACCTGTGTTGTTTTTTTGCCAGCGCCTCATTTCATTTATTGTTGGCCTCTTTGTTAAAAATTTTAAATCCCACCGGATGACTCAGCGGTAGAGCGAGCGGCTCGCGATGAGAAAGTTGCGAGTTCAAATCCTGGTTTTGTGGGGGGGGGGGGGGTAACGCCCATCATCTCTCCCATCGGGGACTATAAAATTAGTACCATTTCTGTGGGGAAGTCGAAAACGGTTGTGTTATGGAAGGTCTCGACCCCACCACAGTAATGTGGAATTTTCACCACTTGCCCCTTACAGGGCTGTAAACGGGAGATGAGCACCGTCTCGGTGCTCCGTTGAGCAGCAGGAAACCACGTTGTGCTTGACGTGCCAGCCTCTTGGTGCTCACAGCACCGCCAGCGCCGCTCGCCCTGCTGCTGAGACAGAGGCGGAGGAGGCGCCGGGGTTGTGCTGCCACTCACCGGGAGAGCAGAAGCACTGTTGTGTTGGAATGAAATGTTTTATGCTGAACTTTTTTTCTCCCAATATATTGTAAACGATAACAGGAAATGCATATTTGTCATATATGTGTTATCATAGGCGTTTAGATTTTGAATAGTTCAGTAAACCATTGTTAAGTTAGTCGCCCAAATAAAACAACATTTTGAATATTGGATTTTGTCGTTTTGTTTTTCCCGCTTTGAACCAGCGGCAGCGACAGCAGCAGCCACATTCGGGCTCCAAATGCATCTCGTTCACGCACGCGTGGGGTGGAGACCCGCGCCGAGAATCTGGGCCATAAAATGACACAAATCACCGTCGCCCAGACGCCAATGTGGCGTGCGCTCATCCTGTCGGGTTCGTGGCGTAGAGGTCAAGGTGCGGCCCTGCACTTCATTGCTGCCTGAAGGGCCTCAGCCAGAGCGAACTCTGGAGGGTGTTTGCTCCACTCTTCCTCGCCGGTACAGGCGTGTCGGAGCAGCTCGGAGTACCCACGCTTTACGCCACCCCGCGCGCGACCTGCCGATCGATCGACCGACCGCGGCGACGGTGAATCTGATCAGTTGGAGCGGCCGTTCCCACCGGCAGGCGAGATGGAGCCGGTGACCTCCGAACTGCGAGTACAATGACGCCACCGTGGCAGCCCCCGCCCGGCTCTTGCAAACAAATGCACGAACGGAACGGCGAGAGCGCCACTCCAGGGCGCGCGCGTACGGCGTGTCGAGGTGCGGCGACGACGACGTCACTGCCAACGCGCGCAGACGGCCCCCCCCCTCCTCCTCCTCCCCGGGGGGAGGTCATCTCCGTTGTGACGTCACGTCCGTGTCTGTCGGGGGTTAAGGGCCGCTCGGTCGCGCGTGTGGTGCGACGATGTTCTTTACGTCCTTAAAACGAAACAAAAAGTATGACGTCATTGTTTTCTGCAAGACATTGTATAGACAGTAGAATATGCGTTGTTTATCTTTTAACGAATCAAAGTGTTTAAAGAGTGACCGCCTTCCTAGTTTGGTTTGTCCCTAGGGGGGTTTCGGCTGCTGCTGTTGATGGGGGCGTTTGGGAGGCGCTTGTAGGGAATCATCCTATCTGTGTGTATCTATTATCTGTGTTTATCTATTATCTGTGTGTATCTATTATGTGTTTATCTATTATCTGTGTGTTTCTATTATTTGTGTTTCTATTAACTGTGTGTATCTATTATCTGTGTTTATTATTTATGTTTATCTATTATCTGTGTTTATCTATTATATGTGTGTTTCCATTAACTGTGTGTATCTATTATCTGTGTTTATCTATTATCTGTGTTTATCTATTATCTGTGTGTATCTATTATCTGTGTTTATCTATTATCTGTGTTTATCTATTATCTGTGTGTTTCTATTAACTGTGTGTATCTATTATCTGTGTGCATCTATCATCTGTGTGTATCTATTGTGTGTTTATCTATTATCTGTGTGTATCTATTATCTGTGTGTATATATTATCTGTTTTATCTATTATCTGTGTGTATCTATTATCTGTGCGTATCTATTATCTGTGTGTATCTATTTGTGTGTATCTGTTATCTGTGTGTATCTATTATCTGTGTTTATTATTTATGTTTATCTATTATCTGTGTTTATCTATTGTATGTGTGTTTCCATTAAATGTGTGTATCTATTATCTGTGTTTATCTATTATCTGTGTGTATCTATTATCTGTGTTTATCTATTATCTGTGTTTATCTATTATCTGTGTGTTTCTATTAACTGTGTGTATCTATTATCTGTGTGCATCTATCATCTGTGTGTATCTATTATGTGTGTTTATCTATTATCTGTGTGTATCTATTATCTGTGTGTATATATTATCTGTTTTATCTATTATCTGTGTGTATCTATTATCTGTGCGTATCTATTATCTGTGTGTATCTATTTGTGTGTATCTGTTATCTGTGTGTATCTATTATCTGTGTTTATTATTTATGTTTATCTATTATCTGTGTTTATCTATTGTATGTGTGTTTCCATTAAATGTGTGTATCTATTATCTGTGTTTATCTATTATCTGTGTGTATCTATTATCTGTGTTTATCTATTATCTGTGTGTTTCTATTATCTGTGTGTTTCTATTAACTGTGTGTCTATTATCTGTGTTTATTATTTATGTTTATCTATTATCTGTTTATCTATTATATGTGTGTTTCCATTAACTGTGTGTATCTATTATCTGTGTTTATCTATTATCTGTGTGTATCTATTATCTGTGTTTATCTATTATCTGTGTTTATCTATTATCTGTGTGTTTCTATTAACTGTGTGTATCTATTATCTGTGTGCATCTATCATCTGTGTGTATCTATTATCTGTGTGTTTAACTATTATCTGTGTGTATCTATTATCTGTGTGTATATATTATCTGTTTTATCTATTATCTGTGTGTATCTATTATCTGTGCGTATCTATTATCTGTGTGTATCTATTATCTGTGTGTATCTGTTATCTGTGTGTATCTATTATCTGTGTGTATCTATTATCTGTGTGTATCTATTACAGTGGTTCTTAACCTGGGTTCGATCGAACCCCAGGGGTTCAGTGAGTCGATCTCAGGGGTTCGGCAGAGCCCCCGCCACGGAGGTCCGGACACACTTGAATTATTGTGTAAATTTGTGATGACACACACGGCCCGCTTGGCCATCACTGGCTGCAGATGATCATGCTACACTGCTTGGCCAATCAGCGCTGCGGGGAATTTAGTGCGTACTCAGTAGTCAACGTGACTGTTGTTGTCGTACGTTGTGTGATTTCTTTAATATTTTATCCATACTAACTATGTCGGGCAAAAGAAGAAAGTGGTCGGACGAATATGTACAACATGGATTCTCATGTATCACGGAACGTGATGGGAGTGAGCGTCCTATCTGCATGATTTGCAACGCCAAGTTGAGCAACTCTAGTCTTGCACCGGCAAAACTAAAGGAACACTTCTTGAAGCTGCATGGAGACGGGGAATACAAGAACACAACACTTGCTGAATTCAGGGTGAAGAGAGCCAGATTCGATGAAAGGGCCACTCTGCCTGCTCTTGGATTTGTACCTGTTAACAAACCGATCCTGACAGCATCGTACGAAGTTGCTTACCTGATCGCAAAGCAGGGCAAGCCACACACCATTGGTGAAACACTTGTGAAACCAGCTGCATTAAAGATGGCGAATCTGATACTCGGAACAGCGGCCGAAGGTAAATTATCCCAAATTCCCCTTTCAAATGACACCGTCAGTGACAGAATAGAAGACATGAGTAAAGACATCTTGGCTCAAGTAGTCGCGGATCTGATTTCAAGCCCGGCAAAATTCAGCCTTCAACTCGACGAAACCACAGACGTTTCTGATCTAAGCCAGCTTGCTGTTTTTGTACGCTATGTGAAAGACGACATGATAAAAGAAGAGTTTTTATTTTGTAAGCCTCTTACAACAACGAAGGCAGCCGATGTGAAGAAGCTTGTGGATGACTTCTTCAGAGACAACAATCTTTCATGGGATATGGTTTCTGCAGTTTGTACGGACGGAGCTCCAGTCATGCTGGGAAGAAAGTCTGGTTTTGGTGCGCTAGTAAAGGCCGATGCACCACACATCATTGTGACGCATTGTATTCTGCACAGGCATGCGTTGGCAACAAAAACCTTACCTCCAAAAATGGCAGAAGTATTAAAAACTGTGCTGGAATGTGTGAACTATGTGCGAAAAAGTGCTCTGAGGCACCGCATCTTCAGTGAGCTGTGTAAAGAAATGGGCTCTGAATTTGAGGTACTTCTGCTCCATTCTAATATTCGGTGGTTATCCCGGGGACAGGTGCTGAATCGTGTTTTTGCCATGCGTGTGGAATTAGCCCTGTTTCTGCAAGAGCACCAACACTGCCATGCAGATTGCTTCAAAAATCCTGAGTTCATTCTCATTTTAACGTACATGGCTGATATATTCGCAGCTCTCAATCATCTCAATCAGCAGATGCAGGGTGGTGGAGTCAATATCATGGAAGCGGAAGAACACCTGAAGGCTTTTCAAAAAAAGCTACCGTTATGGAAACGACGAACAGAGAACAATAACTTCGCAAACTTCCCGCTTCTGGACGACTGTGCAAGTAAGATCGAAGATGTGTCTGGAATCGGAGATATTTCTGTATCCACGGAACTGAAGCAAACAATTGCCACGCACTTAGATGAGCTTGCAAAGTCTCTCGACGGATATTTCCCTACAAGAGAGTCATATCCAGCATGGGTGAGACAGCCGTTCACGTTTGCTGTTGAAACAGCAGATGTCAATGATGAATTCCTCGACGAAATCATTGAAATTCAGCAGAGCCAGGTTCAACAGCAACTCTTCAGAACAACAACGCTCTCAACGTTTTGGTGTCGACAAATGAACAAGTATCCAGTTATTGCTAAGAAAGCCCTGGATTTGTTTTATATCATTTGTTACAACATATCTTTGTGAGCAATCCTTTTCGAGGATGCTGGACATAAAAACGAAGAAAAGGAACAGACTTTGCTGTGAAAATGACATGAGAGTGGCACTTGCCAAGGTGAAGCCACGCATATCTGAACTGATCTCTCAAAGGCAACAGCAGAAGTCACATTGATTTCCAGGTATGTAATTTGTTGTGAGTTTATGCATTGTGTTGGTTTTATTCTTTGAACAAGGTAATGTTCATGCACGGCTCATTTTGTGTACCAGTAAAAAACATATCTACGTCTTGAATTTGAAAAAAATCACATTTTATTTTTCACTAAAGAGGGGTTCGGTGAATGCGCATATGAAACTGGTGGGGTTCAGTACCTCCAACAAGGTTAAGAACCACTGATCTATTATCTGTGTTTATCTATTATCTGTTTTATCTATTATCTGTGTTTATCTATTATCTATTTTATCTATTATCTGTGTGTATCTATTATCTGTGTTTATCTATTATCTGTGTATATATTATCTGTTTTATCTATTATCTGTGTTTATTATCTGTGTGTATCTATTATTTGTGTGTATCTATTGTCTATTTATCTATTATCTGTGTGTATCTATTATCTGTATTTATCTATTATCTGTGTGTATCTATTATCTGTGTATCTATTATCTGTGTGTTTATCTATTGTCTGTGTGTATCTATTATCTGTGTGTTTCTATTAACTGTGTTTATCTATTAT